GGTGTGGCGCCCCGGGCAGCTGCCTGGCTAGCCCCCCCTTAATCCAGCCCTGTGTACGGAGGGGGAGGGGAAGAGAGAAGAAAGGGAAAGGCACCAAGGGACAGCGTGGAGGAGAGACAAATACCAGGGGGCCAAGTGGAGACAATGAGGAAAAGGGCAGGAGGGGAGGTGTCAGTGGGAGTGGGGACAGGGTGATGCTGGGAAAAGAGAGGATAAGGGCATTGGGGGCTATAGGGGGAGGAGGAGGTGCTGGGAGAAGGCTTGAAAGAAGGGGTGGGCATGAGGAAGACTGGGATGGAGCAAGGCATTTGTGAGGGCACAGGGGCATGAGGGGAATAGGAGCAGAGGGTGGTGAGGGGGTGGGCATCAGGGAAAAAGAGGGCAAAGGAAGGCAGTGAGGTAAGGGGGAGGCACCAGGAGGGTGCAGGTGCCAGTGATTCTGGGGGTGAAGGAGAAGGGCAGATACCTGCAGGGGAGGGAACAGAGGAGAGAGGCAGGGCAGGTGTGTACAGGGAGGTGTTAGGAGAGGGGATGAGGAGGGGTAGCTCACAAGATCAGAGTGGGGCTACTGAAGGAGTGGGCACAGGGCGGCGAGAAGGGCTGGCGGAGGGGGGCAGGTCTCAGGAAGGCTGAGGGCAGTGAGAAGGGCAGGAGTCAGGACAGCAGAGGGTGAGGGGTTGGAGGGCAGCAGGCACCAGGGGAGCTGATGGAGCAAGGGGAGGAGACATGGCAGCAGGTTTATAAGATATTTATTAATAACCTGAGTGATATTTATTAATAACTTATTAGTAATTACTGTTCTTATTCTTATTAGGAATTATGCCATTAAAAAAACACTTTTTGTGGGGGAGGGTGGCGAGTCCCTTTTTGTCTGGCGAGTAGGGTTTTCCATAATTTGTCGACTCCTGTTCATGGGCAAACATCTCACTGCTTTGTCAGGATCATGGATAACAGTTGGTGATTCTCCAGTGAAGCAGTTGCAGTAGATAAGTAGTAGGATTAGTCCTGGAAGGCCTGAAATTCAAGCTGTGCTTGAAGTCCTGCATTCCATGAAACCACTTCAGTGTTTGTTTGAGTGCTCTGAACAAAGTGGTTCCTTTCACCAGCTGAAGTGCCTTGCACCTAGCTGTATTGGATTCTGGTCTAGCAGACTGGCCAAAATGATTTGACTTGCAAATATTAAATGCAGGTCAAAAGTTAAATGTGGATGGAAAAGGTCTGATGCCAATTTCAGTCCTTTGTTTCGGAATGTAGTTTAGATCCCTGACAGTAAGCCTCTGGGACTTCTTAAGTCAGTGTTTCTTAAACTGTGTTCCGTGGCACACTAGTGTGCCACGAGGCATTTGGAGGTGTGCTGCGGAGAACAGAATTAAAAATGGCTGCCCTTAAAGGGGCAGGAGACCTTTTTTCCCTCTAACTTCCCCCATGCCTTTTTTTTTTCTCAATAACTTTTCCCCTGACCCTTCCCCCCCACTTTTTTTCCCTCTCAACAAAAAATCCTTGGTGTTCCCCATAAAAAAAATTGTTTGGTGTTTCTCAGTCTTAAAAAGTTTAAGAAACACTGTCTTAAGTACTAATGGCAATCAAAATGCATTTCTCTGACACAGCATTCTGATCTACGCTCACCACGTCTTGTAATTGTTTTGATCATTAAGGAAACTTGCCATAATTTATAGGGAAAAGAAGGCTGGATGTAGGACATGGGCGGGTTTGCGTTCTCCTTTGTGTGTGGTGTAAATTGAGTTACAGTAATATATGGGAGTTCCTCTTGTGTTTCCACTGTTGGCCACGCTATGATCCACTTGTTTGTTAAGTTTGAGTGCATCTTGTAAGTGAAATTTACAAAAGTGAGGATATATGCCCATTATATTCCTATTGACTTTGGTGGTTCTTTAAGAATATGCTTAAGTCCTTCTGCAAATGGGGGTATGTTGCCTAGGTACAACTGAATTTGGTGGGTGGGGGCAGGTGCAGTGCATACATCTAACCTTTTGCTGCTTTTCTAGCTGGAAAGCCTCTAGATAAGCTTTTTGTTTTCTCATTACAAAATTGTGGTGGCTCTCTGTTTCATTTCAGTTTTCCCCCCTCTGTTTCCTGCAGTTGGCAGCTCCAGTTCATCCCATCAGAGTTCAGGGGCCAGTTACCAAAGCTGTATGCCAAGGGACCAATAGACATGAATGACCAAAACAGAGAAGAGCCATCCAGATATGTAAGGACTACATGCTCATCGTCTTTTTCTTTCATCATCAGCATCTAGGGTTGCCAGGTGTCCGGTATTGACCCAGACAGGCCGATATTTTCGCCTCCTGTCTAATAAAAAGTTCTGAAAATACTGGACACCTAAAATGTCTGGCATTTTCTGATTTTTTTTTTTTCCCCCAGCCAGGAGGCGAAAATCCCGGGTGCTTACCTGGTTCTGCAGGGGAGCTGTCCGGCCCGGAGCAGGGAGATGAGATGGCGGACAGCTGACAGCAGCCTGTTAGGGCCAAAAAGCATGAAAAGTATTTCTTAAAGGGGTCACTCTGTTGTTGTTTTTTTTGTTTGTTTGTTTGTTTAACAACTCTCGGGATCTTTGGACTCCCCTGGTTTTTTTTCCTCAACAGAATTTTTTTCCTGATGGTTTTTTTTTGTGGGGAAGGGTGTTTGGTATTTCTGGTTAAACCATCTGGCAACCCTATCAGCATCATTAGTATTAATGGTACTATAGTGTGGTTACCTCGGGGATCTTCATCATGGACCAGGATCCCATTGTGCTGGGGCTGTACGAATCCACAACAAAAAACTGTTTGTAGTGGCATTTGGGAATATCCCAAAACAAAATCTGTTTGTTAAAATGTCTGAATTCTGTTTGTAAATCATCTCCATTTAGTTTTCATTTCAAGTGGTAAACAAACAAGAAAATTACCGGCAGTTACAATTCCTGATCTAGTGTACCATTGGAGTCTCTGATCTCAGATATCAGCTCAGAGGAATTAAGTATTTTAAAATTCTTCCCCCTCCCCACCCGCACCAATGAAATGTATTTGTCACAGAGCAGTGGGTGGCATTTTCCTTTGCGCTTTGGGACCTGTTAAAACTAAGTAAAATTGCCCAAGATGTTTGTAACGAGAGATAGAAATTAAGTTCAGCACTTCACATGAAACAATGGGGACCCTTGTAATGCTCATTTCAAAAGGAATCTTTAAGATAACCTGCATCAGTATGGTATATTTGTTCCTTTTCCAAGTTGACTAGTGTCAATTAAAAAAAAAAAAAGCCCATTTGCCAGCTGGCCTGTTGTAGAATTTTTTAGGTGATCAAGTCAGTACAGAAGCAATTTTCTAAGGACCAGGCCTTTTCCCCCATTCCTCCCTCCCCAAAGGTTCTTTGGAGGCACAGCTTAGAGTGTTTAGGTGACATAGCTACCAGTCCTGGCTGTCTCTATTAGGGTTCCATAGTATCCGAGTAATAATCTGCATGTTTCAGTTAAGTTTTGCTTCAGGTTGGAGATTTTGGTTTGCTGTGTGTTTGCAAGCAGCTAACTGCAGGGTCGTATATATTGTTGCAGTAAGGAAGCTGCTCAGCTGAACTTTTTACCTCTGTTTAGATGAAATATTATTTAGAAGGGAGTGCCAAGCTAAATGGTTTTTTTTATTCCTTTTTTCTGAGATCAGTATAATTAGGAGCATAGAGAAATACACACAGTTCTTCTCCCTCACCTGACCATTATGAGTTGGAATGCCTATGACAAATGTTTGCCTATCCATCTGTCCCTCCTGTCTGCCCCTCATTATTGAAATATCTTAAGTGCCTCATGACTAATAATGTATTTATCTTCTTCATAACACCCTTGTGAGTTAAGGTGAAATAAGGCAAATTGCATTTCAAGTGGGGAACGGCAGCACAGAGGAACTAAATAACTTGTTCAAAGTCTGTGACAGAGTCAAGAATTGATCCCTAGTGACTGCTCTAGCTATGGGACCATCCTTTCTCTTGTCAAAAGGGGTGAATAAGACGAACTGCCGAAAAACAGATGATGCCTTTCCTCCTCCATTTTCAGCACTTTGAAGGGTGCTCTCGGTGCAGCTCATGACTCTCTGGGAGGCACTCATACTAGCAGATCAGCTGTAAACTACATTGAAGTCAAAGCACACTTGCTCTTTTACACCAGCTGAGGAGCTTGGTTCGCTATGGTAGTCTACAGATTTTATCTTGAGAGTAGGGTTAAATCTGATACAACATTAGAGGAGATCGTGTAGGTAACAAAGCAAGAACCAATCCGCAGGATTCAGGCTCTGTTATTTCAAGATCTATTACATGGTTATTGGAAATGGGAAGGAGGCGGATTCCCACCTGAGAGGAGCTGTCTACTGCAATGCATTTAATTTACAAAATCTTTAACTTTGGCATATTTTTAGCACAGACAGCTGGCTTGTGCACAGCCTGTGACTAATGAAACAAAACACATTTTTGTTTCATGGTTGTCTCTTAATGTCACCCTACAATTTTGTTATTTCTGATGCAAGGAAGGAGGACTGGGATATGTTTATTCAATGCATCCACTTTGAGAAATACAGAAATTAGCTACTTGACGTAAATTTTAAGTGGGGCTTTAAAACTAACCTTTGGTTCACAGCTGCTAATAATATCAGAAGAACCGGGATGTCTCTAGAACTAAATGAGCTGCCAGGAGTTGCAGCTTGCCCAGATTCCAAAGACAGACGGACAGATGGACTGACAGCAAGCATTGGAAAGAGCAGCCAGAATTATGCACTAGGAGATATGAGCCTATTAATAAATTGCAAGAGAGAGCTCATATCTCATAAGCTTATACAAGCCAAGAACAAGATAAAGAACTTAGTGCATTTGGCAAGATTCCAGTGCAAGTTCCTGTTGCTGGATTGCCTGGAAATCATAAAGCATGTTATAGGATTCTGTTATAGTGACATTAAGGATCTGATAAGACCCAGCCATCTGATTCTGTTTCTTTTACTTGTGTTAAGTAGAACTTACTCATGCAAGTTGTCCTGTCAGATCCTAATGCATTTCTCTCTGAAACTGTGTTAAGGTGGAAGTTTACTATCTGTTACAAAGAAGTATGGCAGGTCCCATAGACAGGGCCTAAAAGCTGAACTTTTGTTTAAAGTTGCTGATCTTGGAGAAGACTTCTTTGCAATTTGTTTTTACTCCCCACCTTCCCCCTGCGCCTGGCCATCTTCTGTAAAGGATCAAGGATCCAAAGACTAAGCTATCCTCCTGTTTAGTGATATTGATGTGAGCTGTTTGGATAGGGTACCTCTAGGTTCTGCAGGACACATTTTAACTCAGCTCTATCTACGGTAAGAGCCAACAAGCTTCTGTGTTGTGCTGTATGGTCAGACCAGCATCCCCTCCGTTCCATTCATGAGCCAGCAAAAGCAATGCAGCTGGAGGATTATTACAAAATGATGTAACATGCCTTCCACCTGTTAAGTATGCTTTGTCTCCTGCTGCTACTCAGGAAGTGGTCAGACTCAGTTCTTTTGCATCATTTTACAGAGCAGCTGCACCAGATTAAAATTTTTTTTGAGGAGGAGGTTGTGCATTTAAACTTGTTCCAGGCTCTATTCACTGTGAGTGAAATTCTTCTCTGTGGAAAGGGCCTGTTCCATTTTAGCCCTCAATTAGGATGCATAGGTCCTGTGCTGTCTACTTGCAACCTTTGCCTCATCTTAATCTATAAGACTAAAGTAAAAACCATTTGGGATTGTAGAGGGGAGTTTTATAATGTAGCAAAGAAACTTTTGCATTGGAAGCTTCAGGCCCACCGAAAGATCATCCAGGAAAAGGGTATGTTAGAATTTGGTCTTTTCTGATTGTTTTGTGCAGCAGTTTGTTTCTCTGAGTGACTCTGTGTACGTTTAAAAACAAAATATCTAACCAGCAAAAATCCCTATGGGTTTAGAATTCTCCCATTTGACAATTGAAGAAGTTGATTCAATATTCTTCTTAGCTGAGTTTCCTGCAGTGTAATTTCAGTTGGTGTGCAAGTGTTATGCCACTGAGCCATCTGGTCTCCCCTTAATTAAATTGTTTTCAGCAAAAATTTACCACAAGCCCTAGTGTTTCTCCAGAAAAGTCACTCTAAAACATTCAACAAAGTTTGCAAGAAACACTTGACTCAGCACACTGCAGAAATCCTAGAAAGAGACAGGTTTAGGGACTAAAACCTAAAAAGAAATCCAGCTTTCAGGGGCGATATTTACCTGGTCTTCACTGCTTCTAACCAAGTTTATTCAGGAAAGTTAATTCATGGGGAGCTGCTGTTGACAATACAACATAGCACATCTTATCTTGCATTTGATTAATGAAAAATTTTATCCTCCCTAAGCCCTACCTTAGAGAGAGGCCTTCTTCCACTGACTCCTTGATCTTTCCCTTCCAGCCCAACCCACCTTGGTTGCTCAGGCAAGTTGCTACAATAAACCCTCTCAAATCATTGCCTGAATCCATGGGGAGGAGGGGGAGTATCTGTGTTTAGAGAAGCCTGCTGTGGATTCCTCTTTATGTACTATGGGACAGCGATGAGGTGACAGTGTAGAATCTAAGCAGAGCTTCTGAGAGATAAACAGGGATTTGTATCTTATGCCCCCCAAGTGGGGAATATTTTTCCTCAGTTGCCAGCAATAGGACTGTGGCCTGGTACCATTCTGCACTGGATAATAAATCAAAACGGTTCTGGCTTGGATGCTGTATTTTGTAAGGTCTTTATCAAATTGTACAGACAGATAAACACAGTAGGACTTTGACCCAGCACAAAATGCCCTGAGAAGTCCCTTTGTCTCCACAGCACATTGTTTACATTTCAGTGGCAAGGTGCCCTTATTTGTATTAGTGGGACCATGGAGCAAGAGAGACTGCTTAATTTTCCTACTGTCCATCTAGTGGTGGGATTTTATGTGCAGGTTCAGACATCAGCAGGGCATTCTGGGGGAATCTCCTGCCATTTTCAATGGCTCGTCAGTTTTGTTGTTTTGTGCTGATTTGATGGTGCCCAGATATGGAGCAGTCTTTTAAATATCTTCATCCCATCAGGTGCATGCATTGATGATGGCAGTAAATCACAATGGAACTGTTGCTGTTATTGTTTGAAAGTTCACGTTCTTACCTTTTGTGTGTCTCTTTCCCCTTCCCCTCATGCTCCGTCACAGTGGAAATGCCCAGCTGCCTCGTCAGAATGATACCATGCAC